GGGTCCGTCTGTTTCCCACCTCCTGCTCTGAGTCCAGAGGGCATCCAATCAGAGCTGGCCTTCCTGATCAGCTGATCCAGACGCTTCCTCTCAGCTACAGATGAGCCGCTGCTCCATAGAAGATGGCTGCTCCGATCCCAGGACGGTAGGATAACTGCAGCGGATCCAATCAGCCCTCAGCAGTAGATGATGGAAGACCAGCCGTTCCAGGGTCTTCATCAGGTGTGAAGTCAGCGCTACCAGCCTGCAGCTGCTGACGCCCTTTACATGCTTTAACATTTCTAGTTAATTGGGGGATTTATAAATTGTTTCTCCATAGATTATAAAATCTTTGAGTGCAGCAATAATGATCAGAGCTGCTCTCTGTTCCTTCTACATCACAATCTATTCTACCGGCTTTATTTAGCCTTTGGACTTTAACTCCTGGATATTTATAGTGATGTTGAGATGAAAGCAGACTGAGGCAGAAGGTTTATCCTATGATCACACAGACTGAAGGTTAGCTTTTCTTTAACTCAGTATCACAGGATGACGGAAATTAGTCCTTAAGATTAGTCCACTAATTGAAAAACACGTTTAGATTAGTGGCTGCTTTAATCATAGCCGTATTTTCTGGTCATGCCCACAATTAAGCCCTTTCCATAGAAAATCACACATTCTACAATTATTCTGACTAAAATCTATACTTGGGTGTCTTAGAAGGGGAAAATATTTCAAATAAAAGGAAATATTTCTTTCAAATTGAGTTCAGCTGCTAGAAAATCTGCCAGGAACATTTGGCCTCTTCCAACAATGATTAGACCTTAATGTTTTCAGACTTAGACAACTTTTATTGTTATTTTGTATAAAAAACATTTCTTTTATACAGTTTTCAGGCAGGGAAGGAGCAGCAGCTCAGCAGTGAAATTAACCTGTTTATAAAGTGCAGCAGTGACCAAACAGTGTGGGAGAAAAACACGGCGCAGAAAACGCATCAATGTGGAAGTTCAGAGCATTAATATACAAGGTGCAAAAATACAGAAGAAAATGATTTTAAGAGTTGATTTTGGTTTGGTAATGGTCCATTAACAGCCATGCATGGGGCCCATAGAGCTGCATGGGGCCCATAGAGCTGCATGGAGCTGCATGGGGCCCATAGAGCTGCATGGAGCCCATAGAGCTGCATGGGGCCCATAGAGCTGCATGGAGCTGCATGGGGCCCATAGAGCTGCATGGAGCCCATAGAGCTGCATG